CCTTTTATGTAATTTTATATATTTCAAAAGCTTCCAACTATTTTTGTCAAACACTCATATAACAAATAAAAGCTACAGCTTCCCGCTACCAGCTAACCGCTACACGCTACCTGCTTCTCGCTACCAGCTACCCGCTAACCGCTTCTAGCTAACAGCTACTTTTGACAAACACGCCCAGAATGGTCATCTCACTCTAACAATGCTCAACAATAAATAAAAAGGATTAAACTTCAACACACAATGATCTTTATCAAGCTAATACAATAAATAACCAACTAATTAAATCTGTAATCACATAATCACACCATAGTTTCAATACTAATAAATACCATATATCTTATTATTTACCCATATTTTAGCTCAAATGTATTAAAATACTACATAAAAATGTATAAATATGACAATATCACGAAGCACTTATATGAAGTTGTAAAAACATTTTGTCGAAAAACATATAAAAACAAAGAAAGAACGAAGTTGTAAAAACATTGGTTGCTATTTTGTGAAAAATAGATTTTTTTTTTTTGTTATTTAAAAAAAAAATCATTAGTGTTTTTGGCTGAAAGAATACTCTATAAAATTTAGTGGATCCAATTACATATTAATGATCTTTTTATTTAACCTAGCAAAATCGACATCATTTTACTTATTTGCCCTTCCTTTTTTTGATTTCATCCTAACATACCAGTCTCCTTTTATCAGGAACGCAACATAAGCGACAGCTTCACCATCTCCGGCAAAACCTCACTTCTTAAGCCGCAATGGTTCTTCGCTGATACCACATTCCCCGCCCTTCCTGGTACTCCGACATCAGGTACTCCGATTACGTTGTTTTGTGATAGTTTAGGTTATTGATACAGTTTGGTACTGCGATGTGCTTTTTTTGGTTTGGTTTAGTGATTAAATTGTTTTTAATAGTTCACGTTTTTGTTGCTGCCATGGCTAACAACTAATTATTGCAATGTTAGGAATCTCAGTTTTTTGTTGCATTTATGATGTGTTGATTAAATTATGTTAAAACAATTTTCCTGTCACTAATGAATGAAAAACAGTCCTTAAATGCTTTTTGCTTCTATTTCTTGCGAACAGGGTTTCTTGTTTGGGGTTTCCACTGGTTGCGAAATATGTAGGAAGGGAATTTGAATTTGATAACCCTCACTTATAACTTATTATTGTTAGAATAGAAGCAAATGTATAGGACTTTGTTGCTTTAGGATTGAATCAGTATTTTTCTTTCACACGTAATTACATACATCTTCCTTATGGTTTATGCATTATGGGTCTTTGTAACTTTTTTTTCAACCATTTTCATCCATTATAGATTCAATTTTAACCCTTTTGGTCGATAACCTATCTAAAATGACTATGATACACCTATTCTATATTTTGAGCTTTCTTTAATTATTTGTATACTAGGTGTGAGACTCATGTATTACATGGGTTTATTTAAAAAAATTAAATATGAAATTTTAACAATTTGAAAAGTTTAAATTTATAAGAAAAATGAGAAAAATTTTGAATTATTAAAATTAATGAGCTTTTAATGTATTGAATACATTACATATATAAACCCTTGAAATTTAAATACCTTATATATATATATATATATATATATATATATATATATATATATATATTACCTTACATATTAAATGGAATTTTAATTTAATAAAATGAAAAATACAATAAAATGACAAGTGGAAAATAGAAAACTCAAAAATTCTAGAAAATGTCATGTGTCCAAATGAAAGAGAAGATGACATGTGGCAAATAGTTCTTTATTTATTAGGGAGGATTGCAAATATGGGTTTTTTGTATTAATAATGTAATGGTATAGTAGTCATTTTAGGGACAAAAAAGATTGAAACTAAAACTTCAAGGAGAAAAGGTGTCAGAAAAGGCCACAAGGTACCCGGTCCATAATTTTTTGTATACCACAAGGACTATTTATGTAATTTAATCTTTCTTTAAGATTCTTATACAACACACTGGTTTATCGAGGTGCGAGGTTCCTCATACACCCAAAGAAAGTTGATTGTGTTGTTTTCTCTGGCTTTAATGTTGTTTTTCAGCAGGATTTCTTAATTTAATCATGCAGTTTGCATCTAGTTTTCTTGAAATTTCTTTGTTTTGGTGAAGATTTATGTGCTTGAAATGTGTTTTTTGAAAGTGGTAAAGTATTGCTTAAAATGGAATCTGAAAATCAGCAGGATTTTTTTTTTTCCAAATTTAAGCATGTAGTTTGTATCTCGTTTTCTTGAAATTTCTTGGTTCTGATGTGTTTCTTGAAACTGATAAAGTATCCGAACTTAAAATAGAATCTGAAAATTAACTACTTTATTTGACCACCATGCATATTCCAAGAATGATATTGTTTAAATTTAAAAGTACATTAATATTATCGTCCCTAATTGATAACTTCTCTATTATTCCAAAAAGAAATAAAAAATAGTCAATAAGATAATAAAATTTTCATATTGCTCACTTGGTTATTTTTCAACAAATCATATCCGTCGGTACCTTTACCACAGGATATTTTTATTGCACATGCATACACCTAGTATAATTTTGCTTTGATCACAGCATGATTAGTGCCTTTATTTGAACACAATATTTAACCATGACAATAAATTCAAAGACAAATACTATATACAATAAAAAAACAAATTTAGCAACACATTATATATATATATATATATATATATATATATATATATATATATATACACTTGCCTTCAAAGAAACACAAAGCCCACATCATAAAGCCAATCTCTTCATACATAGTGTTGCATGAAGGTGTTTCTTTTTGACTTATAGGACTTAATGGGGATAAGACTTGATCCGACATACAAGGATGTTTCTTTTTTACCCTCAATCTCCTTCTTTTTGTTCTTTCTTTCCTTCTTAACGCTGTACAAAACCCTCCCAAATCCCACCCACCCAGTTCACAGAAACCTATCATACAAGTTAGATTATATCATTAAATGGATTTTATGATTAAATTGTTATTTATGAAACTGTCAACAATTTAAATTGGTGGATATGCTTCTTGAATCCAACCCAGGAGCAAATTACAGACCTGCAAACTGTTGGTAGTATTATTAAAAAGCTTCTTTGAAACAGGGAACCAAGTAAAATTTACAGGTTTTTCACAATAAAGCCGTAGAGCATATCATACCATGTACCTGCATAAATAGTCCCTGCCACAGTTGAAAAGACTATATTACCCTTTGTTTTTTATTTTTCAGTTTTTATTTTTATTTTTATTATTATTTACTAATTAAAGAAAATGATTTATAGAAATGTGGGACCCACTTATATTGCCACTTCCACCGGCAACCACCATCGGTTACCGGCACAACACTGCCCACCTATTCCGTCACCACCACTATCCACCTATTCCGGAACCACCACCACCACCCATATCATCGATTTCATCAGGTGACACCCCAAGATCAAATCTCGGAAATCAAACCATACCAAGATCAAATCCTGAAATCAAAACCAAATCTGGAAATCAAAACCCAAAACCTAACCTGAAATCGGAGATGAAAGAAAAATCTAATGGAATCCCCAAAATCAAAGATGATTTTAAGAACCTGGGTTAAAAGGGGAACGTCAATCTTCGCGATTTTTGATTTGGCGGTCTAATTTTCAAAGATTTTTGATGGAGATGATGGTGGTCGGGGTTACAGAGAAGGAGACGGCGGTGGCGGTGGAAGGAAACTTCTTTCAAGGCATTGACAGGTTTGATTGTCTCATTTTCCGACACAGCGCTCCACTTAGGATGGTGGAAGGAAGCAGTCGCCAAGGCGATGGTGGTGGAGCGATTTAGGTTCAACAAAGGGAGGTGCTTCTTGCGTTTGATTTATCCCAGATGATGGCAGCGGTGGTGTTTGATTTATGCGTCCGATGACAACACCGATTATGGAGAAGAATGAGGGAGATGAAGATGAGTTTCAGTCAAAGGGAAGGACGAGATTTAGGGTAACATTGAGGAGATAAAAGAGTTTAGGTGGGCCCCACATGTTTTATTAATTTTTTTAATATAATAAATAATAAAAAAACTGAAAAATTAAAAACAAAGGGTAATATAGTCTTTTCAAATGTGGCAGGGACTAAAAACGCAACGAAATCATACTGTAAGGACGGTCCGAGTGCAAAACAAAAGTTAGGGACCAAACTCGCAATTTTGACTAAACCATAGGGACGATTTCAGTAATTTATTCTTTAGTTTAATAACTATGCAAGAGAAGCGGTAAAAAAGAGAGTTATCATGCAATCATTTGGTTATTGAAGGAATGATATTGGCTCAAATCATTTAATCTCAATGTTATTCTCTCATTTTATAGCTTCCTTGAATTCAGTTCCTAGCCGATTTTTGGTATCAGGGCATCATGGCACCTCCAACAAATGTATCTCAGAGGATGGAGGTGATGGAATGGGAGTGTGTTCTTCCATCAGCGAGATCTCATGGAAGAGATTGCTCTTCTGGTGGGAAAAGTGAATGAAATAGCATCTGACAATGGGAAGATACTTCTTCCTCAGAAGACGATGGTGAAGGCAACAGTGGTAGTGTTTCAGGTTTGATGAGAAGTGGAATTTGGGCCATAAATGCAATCGACGAGAGCTTATGTTGTGCTCCTACCACTCAAATTCACGTACAAAAGAAAGAAGAACCAGAAAAAGATTCCCCATGAAGGAAGGTCCACTAACCTGTCCAGCAGGTCTGCAGACGTAGTGGAAGAGCAGGGGCAATTTGGGAATTCAAGGCAGTAGCTGTCATTCTTGTCTATTTATAGGAGGGAACAACCTTAGTCTAGCATCTGATTTGATTCTTAGAAGTTTCTTTTCTTGGAGACCGTAGCCTCTCGAATTGCTACTACTATCTTGTTCTTAAAAATGTTGTTCCTATTTCTAAAGATATTCCACTGGCTCTTGCATCTTCTTGTTATTTGGTTAATCTATAACAAATTGGTATCAGAGCATCACCTGTGACCATGGCTGGAGAAAAAGGAGGAGGAAAGGAGACTGGGGGAGCTCAACTAAAAAGGATGGAATCGTTGGAGACGGAACTAGGGATCTTGTATGATCGGTTGGAAACTCAAGGCAACCAGATCCAACATCAGGCGGACTCCATAGCTTCCATCCAGTTGAAGATGGATCAACGGTTCCAAGAATCGTTCAACAAGAGACAAGGAGAAGAAAGCAATGGAGGAGGAACCCAACGTTACACCCGTTGTGTCTCTTGTGGAGACACCTAGAGATTACAGCGGTGGTTCTCGTAATGACACCAAAGGTTCCAGTCACAGGGGAGGAGAGGGACCGAATGGTGGAACCAACTGGAGGTATAGGAAGTTGGACATGCCCCTCTTTGATGGAGAGAACCCCTACGGGTGGATACTGAGAACAAACAGAGCGCTATTTCAACTTCTACAAGTTATCGGAAGGTGACAAGATGGAGGCGGCGGTTGTGGCTCTGGAGGGCGATGCCCTTTTGTGGTTCCAATGGGAGCATCGGAATTGAAGTCACTCCTTCGACAATTCCGACCTATCCACACAGGTACACTATACCAGCAATGGTTATCGCTAACTCATACCGGGTCGGTCCATGAATATGTTCATTTATTGAATTACTTGCCCCACTTAGCAACATTTTGGATGACATCACAATGGCCCAGTTCATTAATGGACTTCAAGAGGAAATTAGGTCAGAAGTCCAACTTTTTGAGCCCAGATCCATAGACCACGCCATATCAATAGCCATTTAGGTGGAAGAAAAGCTCCGACCCCCAACTCATCGTAAATCAAGCTCATCTGCTCCTTCCCAGAAATCGCAACCTCTCATCACGCCTATCAAGACCACAAAATTCTCCCCGAAAGGACCCCACCACACCAGGGTCACGCAATAGCTCTTCCACCCACCGTCCGACAGAAATCCGAAGGCTCACTGACCAGGAATTGCAAAGTAAAAGAAAGAAAGGACTCTGTTACAGATGCGACGAAAAATGGAACCCTAGGCATCGTTGTAGAAAGAAATAGTTGAGTGTGCTGATCATACACGAAGACGAAAACCCGAAAGAAGAACCAATCCCAGATTTGGAGTTAGAACCCCCGCTAGAGACCCCAGAAGACACCGTCTTATCAGGAATTTGTTTGAATTCCGTCATCGGTACAACCAATCCAAAAACCCTCAAGTTAAAAGGGCAAATGGCAGGGTCAGAGGTGCTGGTGCTCATTGATCCCGGGGCAACGAATAATTTTCTTTCCCTAGAGACTATACAACTCAACATTCCGATCACACCCACTGCTGGGTTTGGAGTATCATTGGGAACCGGGGAGGCATTCACCGGAAGCGGGAAGTGCAAAGGAATGTTGCTTCAATTACAAGGCATATGTATCAGAGAAGAATTACTGGGTGCAATGGCTGGAAACACTTGTTCTGGTGACCAGCAATTGGAAAACGCAGCACATAAGGCTTCAACTGGAAGGGCAATGTGTGACCTTGAAAGGCCACCCATCTCTGGAGCGAGCTAGGGTATCCTTGAAAAATATGGTCAGAATGCTTAGATCGGTGGGAGGAGGTCTTTGGGTTCAACTCAGTCTCATCGAACAACTTCCAACCATTACCGGGTTACCGTTGTGTCCTGCATACTTGGAGCCAATAGTTCACCAATATGCATCGGTGTTTTTGTGGAAGGGGGGATTACCACCTCAGCGGAACCAACAACACTCCATTAGTTAAAAAAAGGAACAGAACCGGTGTCCGTGAGACCGTATAGATACATCCATGTGCAGAAGGAAGAAATCGAAAGGCTATTACAGGATATCCTTCAATCAGGTATCAATCAGCCTTCCAAGAGTCCGTTTTCGAGTCCAATCCTCTTGGTAAAGAAAAAAAAATGGGTCATGGAGATTTTGTGTAGACTATCGAAGTCTTAACAAAGTGACAGTCCAAACAAATTTCTCATACCAATTATAGACGAGCTGTTGGACGAATTGCAAGGTTCTTGGGTATTCTCCAAATTAGACTTGAAGTCTGGGTATCACCAGATCAGAATGAAGGAAGAATGAAGGAAGAGGACATACATAAAACAACTTTTGGATCCCACAAGGGACATTACGAATTTAAGGTCATGCCTTTCGGCCTTACTAATGCTTCGGCGACCTTTCAATCCGTGATGAACGAGGTATTTAAACCTTGTCTTCGCAAGTTCGTATTGGTTTTCTTTGACGACATCCTAGTGTATAGCCAAAACGAAGATCAACTTCAGGCACACATGGAACTGGTTCTGAAAATGCTAGACCAAAACGAATTTTTCGCAAACCGAAGTAAGTGTGAGTTGGGAAGGCTCCAGATCACTTGTCTGGGCCACGTGATCTCGGAACAAGGGCTGGCCGTCGACGATGAAAAGATCAAGGCAATCGAGGCTTGGCCAACTCCCACTACCTTAAAGGAGCTGAGGGGTATCCAGGGCCTAGCTGGATATTACATAAAATTCAGTAAGAGATATGCAAGTATGGCGTCCCCACTGACAGATCAACTCAGGAAGGATAGTTTCAGATCGAATGAGGTTGCCCAGGATGCTGCTTTTCAGGCTTTAAAGTCAGCCCTTACACACACTCTAATACTTGCCTTGCCAAATTTTGACAAGACGTTCATTGTGGAAACCGATGCTTCCGGGGTCGGATTGGGAGCAGTATTGATTCAAGAAGGTCACCCCATAGCGTATTACAGCCAAGTGTTGGGCGTGAGTAACCGACTCAAGTCAATCTATGAAAAAGAGTTGATGGCGATAGTGTTGGCTGTTAAAAGATAGAGGCATTACTTGCTGGGGAGACATTTCGTCATCAGAACCGATCAACGAAGCTTGAAGTTCTTGATGGAACAAAGAGAAGTGGGACCCGAGTATCATAAGTGGATGTACAAGATCCTATTATTTGATTTTGAGATCCAATACAAACCCGGAACCACAAACAAAGTCGTCGATGCCTTATCTCTAACAACCACATCAGAAGCAGAATTGCAATCATTACAATCCTCGTGGTTTGCAGACGTAGTGGAAGAACAGGGGCAATTTGGGAATTCAAGGCAGTAGTTTTCATTCTTGTCTATTTATAGGAGGGAACAACCTTAGTCTAGCATCTGATTTGATTCTTAGAAGTTTCTTCTCTTGGAGACCGTAGCCTCTCGAATTGCTACTACTAACTTGTTCTTAAAACTGTTGTTCCTATTTCTAGAGATATTCCACCGGCTCTTGCAGCTTCTTGTTGTTTGGTTAATCTATAACAACTTAGTATTATTCTAGAATCTAGCCCTAGAGGATGAAGAGGAAGTAGAGCAATTTATGCAATAGACAAAAAGAAAAGAACTAACAACAGCTTTATGTCTTAACCCTATAGGGATAACCAAGCCAAAGACATTAAAGCTTAAAGGCACCATTAAAGGAGAGGACATGGTGATTATGATAGACCCAGTGGTCACACATAATTTCTTATCTTTAAATACAGTAGAAAAATTAGGAATTCCAATAATCGATACCAGTGCTCTGGGGTAGCCTTAGGAACCAGGGTCACCATTCAAGGTAATAGAGAATGTAAAGGAGTCAACATCCGGCTTTATGGGTTACGAATCAAAGCAGATTTCTTGCCCCGCACACTCAGAAATTTTGATGTGATTTTGGGATTGCAGTGACTTGAAAAGTGTTACGTTCCCACATCAGCCTAAAGTAAAATAAGTTGGTGGCTTATAAGTCTAAGTGTCCCCTCCTCCTACAAACTAGCTTTTAGGAATGAGTTCTACACTTAGGCTTATGACGTGATACAAGCCTAGTATGGGATGGACTCTGATACCAACTAGATGGAATTAGTTGCGCCTTTGGCGCCGTGTTTCTTTTTTTTTTTGTTATTTCAAGGTGTAGTAAATAAGAAAGCATATTATAATTGTTGTGAAAGGATAAGTTAAAATTCATTTTTAATATATAATTATAGGAATGTATAATGCTATTTTTGGTCTTCGATGAGAAGATAATCAAGATCACCATGTCATTATCATGACTTCCAGCATATAGAGGCTGTACAACAACAAAAGGGAATCTGAAGAGGATGAGGAAATGTTGTTTCCTACAGACCCTTAAATCCTATGGGATTTTGGGTTTTTTTTTCTTTTTTGCTTCTGCTTTTTTTGATCCATTCTTGCATTTTATAGTCCTAAGTGTAGAGATAAACAAACATAAATATGAGTTGCCTTTTGAGGAACATTAAAATTCATGAAAAAATATTTTTTAAATATGTAAATTTAATAAAAAGATTAAGAAATTACCTTGATCCACCAGTATGGGCAATATCACAATACTTGATCATATATGCAAGTAGAATTACAAATCTTCTCAAGCACCTGGTCCAAGAACAAAAGTGTTGACTTTCCTGAAAGAAATCATACAAACAAAATACATTATAATTTCTTATGATTAGTATACCCATAACATAGTACACCTGTCACAAACACCATGCCCAAATGTCAAAAATACCCCTGTATGTCCCATTAAAGTTGAGACATTTCACATAGTAAATACTTTACTTGAATTGTTTTAACATGTTTGGATATCGGTAATTTTTCATAGTATTAGTATCAATCCGTTTATAATGATGATAAAAGGGTAAATATGTAATTTCTTAACATTATATGTAAAGGCGGCTATCCTGAACTCAAGCCCATTGACTATATGAAAACCTTGTCTTTTCTCAAATTTTCATACGCATAAAGATGAAAAAGCTTCTTATTAACCTCATCTGTTGCAATAGCCAGCAGCTGTCAAAGGCATTGTCAATTTATAGCTCCAATGGTAGATTTGAAAATACAAATTTATTTTGTAAAAAAAAGTATGTTACGAATTTTGTAAGCTTGTCTATCAGTTTGTCTAATGTGAAGACGGGAAACGACCACGTGCCAAGAACTGTCCGACATTCATCTTCATATTTTGCACCGTCGATAGCACCATCAAGAAAAAGTTTTAGAATAGATCCAAGAATCTGTAAATAAAAAAAAAGTTAAAAAATGACGGAATGAGAAAATTGGGAAAAGAGAAAATAAATAGAACACCTGGCATATGACTTTATGTCCCCCTATGAAAAAAACGGTGGGTAAAATGGTCATTTACTCATATAAAGTAAAAAAAAAAAAGTAAGATTTACCTTGATGATCCTGCAGACTATGAGTTCCATGATTCTTCTAGTTTCTTTATCAGCAATTTCGCTTTCACGCATGATATCAGATGCAATTGGGGTTCCACCATAAGGACTCTGCACAAGCGCCAATCCTGCAACTTTATCTTTAAGATCACACCAATAATGTGATAATGCAGCTGCAACATCCACAGCAGCCTTGCTATGACCAAGCAACATCACACGTTTACCAGAGCCCCAATACAATTCTTCAATATATTGCTTCAAAACCTATGAATTGTACTCCACAGATGCCTTCATTTTTTTATAAAAATCAAGAAATCTTGGTGAAATCAGAAGGGTAAAATGCAATTGCAAATCTGATTCTGCCTAATCACAAGATAGAAGTAGATTTTATGCTAATAATCCACATATGTAATGAATTACCGTAGACTTATTGTTCTATAAAGGAACACTTGTAGACTTATTCCCTAATGCCAAAGTTGCTACATGAGTACCATGATACTATGGGTGGACATGATGGATATCAAAAGGATATCAATAAATATGTGCAACAATGTAAAGTATAGTAGTAACAAAAACACTCAACATTGCACCGTCAGGATTTTTTCAGCCACTCGTACATCTAAATTTAGTTTGGGAAGAGATCACCGTGGACTGCGTGGAGAGATTACCAAAGTTCCAAGGCATTGATACAATGTTGGTGGTGGTGGATCGCCTGTCCAAGTTCACACCCTTCTTAAGCTTGAAGCCCCGTTTACTGCTGCCACAGTTGCTTTGCTATTCATCAAAGAAATTGCGAGGCTTCATGGTTTTCCACATTCCATCATAACTCATTAGTACAAGATTTCCATGATTCTGTTTTGGCGTGAACTATTTCGTTTGCAAGGCACGATCCTTAAAAAAAGCATTGTATACCATCCCTGAGGTAGTCAACAAAACGTTAGAAGTTTAAATTCTTTTTTGTATTCAAGGTAAACCCAAGAACTGATCCCAATGGTTACCGTGGGCTGAATACCCGTACAATATTTCTTATCATTCGGCTGCCAAGTATGCTCATTTTAAGGTATTATATGGATGAGAGCCTCCCAACCTGGTCCACCATGCAGCAAGACAAACCACTGTGTTTTTGTTTGAGGATCAACTTAAAGAAAGGGAAGCTATCTTGGATGAATTGAAGCTCAATCTCTTGTTGGCCCGGCAAAAGATGAAATATTAGGAAGACAAACACATGAAAGATCTAAGTTTCAATATTGGCAATTTGGTTTATTTAAAGTTACTAAGAATGTAAAAATACTTGGACCCAACTCAATCCAAAACTTTTGGGACAAGGTTTGGGTCGGATAAATGGTTATAGAATGTTTTCTAAAAAAATTGTGGGTTTGGGATGGTTATACCCACCTAATTACCAGATCCCATAATCGGTCTCATTTACCCATTTCCATCCCCGAACCATTTATATTTTATAATACTTATACTTTTATTATTAATATACAATACAAATTTACATTAAAATATTATATGGGATATTACAAATATGAAGTTCTTATTTAATTACTACTTATTTTTTAAAACTTAAATTATTGATGTCTTTCCCTCTTTCCACCTTCTTGAGGACAAAAGGGGGGGGGGGGGGGGGGTGGGGGGGACAAGCAGAGGGGTAGAAAGGAGACTTTGTCCAATGCAAATTAGCATGCAATTTGTTCAAGGGCAATTCTGGTAATTTAATTATTTAAGTTTGCTTATTGTTTTCATTTGGGATCTTAATCAGGAGATCCTAGCATCTTGAATGGCTAGTAAAGTCGTTATGTTTTTCTTGTAATCCTTTTCCTATCATTCTTATAGCCCTTGAATTCACTTCATAGCAAACTATTGGATGATGTGTCCATTGTTATCCAACATTGATTTTTTAAACAGAAGGCTAAAATTGTCATTTTCTGTATATATATAAAAAAAAGAAACTGTCTATTTGTATCCATCAGTTTATCCAAACAGGCTACTATTTTCTCATTCAGAACATTATTCATACACAGACACTACTTAATGAAAAAAAAAAAGATAAAAAAAAAACAAGGTCTAAGTTATCGATGGACCAATCAAGTGAACATGTTCCCACTTTACCGGTTAAGACATTTTGAACTTATTAAGTAAAAAGAGACTACATTAAGTTATGCGTCCATTAAGTCGATTAGATCAGAAGTAAACAACACCTAAGCCAATTATAAAAATGTATAAACCATGAGCAAAACAATGGAAATATGTTTAATGATAATAAAAAATTATCTTTCATATACGAAAACATATATTATGATGTTAGCTAATTCAGATGTACAAAATACTAATTACCTTATGTTTAGAGTTAAAAATGTCATTATAATGATGTATAATTTTGTTGGATAGAAATTTCAGTTTTGTAAATTCCTTTTATTTCATTTTTATACCTTAAAAAATTATTGTAGTTTTTATGTCCATTCTTTTTCTACACAGTGTAAGGCAATGTGATGCCATGGTAAGAGCACAGAGAAAATGGGAAAAAAATCACAATACAAGGAGTTCAGAGTCATCTGGCGGCCGGATTGTTACTTTATGATGATTCATTTACTATACAAAAGAAGAAAATTTTCATCAAATCTAACAATCCTATGCTTTTTTCCCTTAGCGTTTTGTTGTATCTGCACAAAAGAATGGCGGTCAGGATCTCAAGAGCTTTGAGTTTCGGTGCTTCCAAGAAGCTCAGAGTGTGCTTGCTCAGGTTTGTTTATACGGTCAAGTGGCCTAAAGATACTATTTTTTCCCAATGGGTAATCAATTCATGATGTATTCAGGTTACCATTGCTTAGACAGTGGCAGAAGCTGCTTTGGAGTTTGAGCACAGAGACCTACATTGGTATAGTAATACTCATAATCTTTTTTTTTACATTAGTATAGTAACACTCAGAATCTTTTTTTACTTAATTAATTGTTTACAAATGTAGGGAAAATATTTTGTAGAAGCGTAATGATTCTGAAACGATGCGGTTCATTCTTGAAGGGGAGGATAAACATATTAAAACCAATGGAGTTGTAGCATCCATTATAGATTTTACATTTTCGAGAATCAAACCTCGTTCGTCATATCTTTTTTACTTAACAAGCTTAATGGCATGACTTTAACCATTAACTGTATATGACTTCTTTTTGACTTTATGCTCAAATGATGACCTAATAAAGAAAGAGGATCGAGGAAACTTTTTGCAAATTTGTGATTACTTATTTTTTTTCCTACCATTATCTTAAGTGTTGTCATTACAACAAAAATTTGATAACCATTATTTATCAAGAAAGAAAGAAAAAGAAACAATGTCCTACTGATGTGCACTTTTTAATATACAAAACAACTATTTCTTATTGGCAGATAATTATATTCATTATATGGATGTCTCTCTAGCTCTTCAAGTTTTCATTATATATATATATATATATATATATATATAATATATATATATATATAGTTTCCCTTCACTTGTTTGTTTATTTTACAGGTCGACATGCAAATAGACGACCTGCAAATAGACATGTGAAGGGAAACCATATATATATATATATATATATATAATGAAAACTTGAGGAGCTAGAGAGAGATCCATATAATGAATATAATTATCTACCAATAAGAAATAGTTGTTCAGTATATTAAAAAGTACACATCAGTAGACCTTGTTTCTTTTTCTTTCTTCCTTTATAAATAATGTTTATCAAATATTTGTAGGTAATGACAACACACTTAAGATAATGGTAGGAAAAAAAATAAGAAATCACAAATTTGCAAAAAGTTTCTCAATCCTCTTTCTTTATTAAGTCATCATTTGAGCATTAATTCAAAAAAAAGTCATATACAGTTAATCAGGTCAAAGTCATGTCATTAAGCTTGTTAAGTCAAAAGGAACAACACGTGGACCTTCCTCATATGATGAACGAGGTTTTATCCACGAAAGTGCAAAAAACTATAATGGATGCTACAACTTCATAGGTTTTGATATGTTTATCCTCCCCTTCAAGAAGGAACCACATCGTTTCAGAATCATTACGGTTCAACAAGATATTTTTCTTACATTTATAAACAATTAATTAAGTAAAAAAGATTCTAAGTGTTACTGTACTAATGTAAAAAAAAAAAAGATTGTGCGTATTACTATACCAATGTAGGTCTTTCTGCTCAAATTACAAAGCAGCTTCTGCCACTGCCAAAGCAACGGTAACCTGAATACATCATGAATTGATTACCCATTAGGAAAAAAATAGTATTTTTAGGCCACATGACCGTATAAACATACCTGGGCACACTCACACTGAGCTTCTTGGAAGTTCCGAAACTCAAAGCTCTTGAGATCCTAACCGCCATTCTTTTGTGCAGATACAACAAAACGTTAAGGGAAAGATGCATAGAATTGTTAGATTTGATGAAAATTTTCTTCTTCTGTATAGTAAATGAATCATCATAAAGTAACAATCCGGCCGCCAGATGACACTGAACTCTCCTTATACTGTGATTTTTTTCCCCATTTTCTCTGTGCTCTTACCATGGCATCATCATAACCACTGTGCTCTTACCATGACATCACATTGCCTTACACTGTGCAGAAAAAGGGACGGACGTAAAAACTAGAAATGAAGGTATAAAAATGACATAAAAGGTATTTACAAAACTGAAATTTCTATCCAACAAAATTATACATCATTATAATGACATTTTTTAACTTTAAACATAAGGTAACTAGCATTTTGTACATCTGAATTAACTAACATTATAATATCTGTTTCAGTATATGAAAGATAATTTCTTATTATCATTAAACATATTTCCATTGTTTTGCTCATGGTTTATACATTCTTATAATTGGCTTAGGTGTTGTTTACTTCTGACCTAATCGACTTAATGGACGCATAACTTAATGTAGTCTCTTTTTTACTTAATAAGTTCAAAATGTCTTAACTGGTAAAGTGGGGCATGTTCACTTGATGGATCCATCGATAACTTAGACCTTATTTCTTTTTTATCTTTTTTTTTCATTAAGTAGTGTTAGTGTATGAATAATGTTCTGAATGAGAAAATGGTAGCCTGATGGATACAAATACAAATACACTGTTCCTTTTTTATATATAAAGAAAATGACCATTTTAGCCTTCTGTTTAAAAAAGCAATGTTGGATAACAAAGGACACTTCATCCAATAATTTGCTATGAAGTGAATTCAAGGACTATAAAAATGATTCAAGGAAAAGAATTACAAGAACGAACATAACGACTTTATTAGCTGCTAGGGTCTCCTGATTAAGATCTCAAATGAAAACGATAAGCAAACTTAAATAATTAAATTATCAGAATTCGGTTAACCATCGGAATGAACATGGCCAAATTCTAAAAACCATATTTTTCTGTTTAACCATCGCAACAGGTAGGCTTATGAACTTTGTAACCAGTGGCGGAGCTTGAATAAATTATTTGAGGGGGCCGAAACTAAAGCTATAGTTTTAAAAAAAAAAACAACAAGGGCCAAAGCCTAATTTTTATATTTTCATGTCTAATATATATAAAATATAGTGGATAAAACTAGTTGTAAGTAAAAAAACAGGGGGGGCTGCCTTATAATCCTCCCGCCCATGTTTGTAACCGGGAAAACCTTTCCTGGAATGCTCGGTTAGGGTGGTTAATTTGTTGAAATAATAATAATAATAAATAAAGACAAACCTTTGAACAATTTTTAATTATATTAAGTCTAAGTGTTTATTAACATAAAACGCAATTAAATCCATGCCAAAAATGTCTCATGACTCTACTCAAGTTTCACTCCATGGTTTATATACTTTAAATATCAACATACATATTTTCCATTTCGACATTGTACTTTCACTTATGTAATATCTTTACATTCTTATACTAGAAGATCATTATTATCTAAACCAATTATGTGAGTCTCATTATAAAAATAATAACATATAGATAATAACAATCCAGCACAAAATTAAACATGATTAAAGCACCAATTTTTTAAGGTTTTGAGTTTTACCTTCCAGATGGTTTTTTGACAAGGAAAACAAGGAACGAGGATGAGGAGTATGACCACCGGCGCCGCGCCACCTCTGGCTACCAGATCCGGACCCGCCGTCGTAAGAGCCACCACCGCTGCGGGGTTCTCCTTCTCTCGATCTCTTTATACTTACTCTCGATGGTGGTGATCTCTCGAAAACAAATTGGAATCTCTGTCTCTCTTTTCGTGCTCTTTCTCTCTTCTAAGACAGGCGAACCACAAACAGCTAGGTAACCCTAGTTTTGTTTTCTTTTTTACTATATTAACCACTAACACTCCTCAAAGCCCAAACTCGAATCTAATTTATGTACAATCCACTTTTTAGAATGCCACAATCCACTTTTTAGTACCATAATAACAAAACATATAATTTTATTTCTTTATTAGCAAGGCAAATAAAAATAATAATAAAACTATATATTTTACTTTTAAAATTGTAGCTGTGATTTTTTTTACTTACTTTCATCGATAAAACACAGTTTTACTTTTTTAATTTATTAGGTTATTGTATAAAAACTTTATAGTTTGTTAAAAAAAACGACTTTAGCTTAAAATATTTTTAGATAAGTTATAACCGTAAGTTTTTTTAGTTTCTTTATTGTTATCCTTGTAAATTTTTATCATAGGTTCTTCTAAGTTCTAAGTTAACATGAAATACAATTCTAAAAATAAAAAAAACCTTTAATTTTTTAACATTTTCATAATAATATATATAATTATTTTTATATTATACGTATTCATGCTGGAGTACATATTTATATACTAAAAGATATATAACTAAATATTTTATTTACATATTTTTTTTTAAATATGTTTTTTTGTTTATATATAAGGTTTAGAACATAAAACTACCTATTTATGTTTTTTATAAAACGGAGAAAAATTAACATTCTTAAAAATGGTTTTTATGTTTTCATAACTATAAATATATTTTTATGTACTTTTTACGTTTTCAGAAGTGTAAATACATTTTTTAAAAGTATAAATATGTATTTAATGTCTTCAGAAGTATAAACACATATTTTTATGGTTTTAGAAACAAAATGCTTTTTTACGTCTTTACAGGTTTAAATATATTTTTAGAAATGTAAATATGTACATGTACTTCTAAAAACATATTTATGATTCTAAAAAACATAAAATAAGTATTTATACTTTTAAAAACATATTTATACTTCTAAACACATAATAATATGCATTTATACTTAAAAAAACGTAAACAACTATATAAAAAATACATTTATACTT